TTAAATCCTAGTGTAATATTATAAATTAAATACTTCAAAAGCTTATTTAAAAAAACAATACCATAATCAAAACAACTACAATATACAAGGAATTTCAATTTTTTGCTTCCCAAAAAGAATGAAATATATACATTTGTGAAGAATGACATCGATGCAATGAAGTTGAAGTCACACCTACACATCCTTTGAATTTGAAAGTAGAATTATTGCGGGAAACTATGCAATACTAGAATTAGTAACTCATATCGATCATTATTTCAATATTTAGTTTTATGTATCAGTTGGTTTTATTGTTTTTTTCTAGACTTAAAGAAACACTTTACAATTTGCTGTTGTTATATTGTGCAAAGTGAAACGTGTTTTATTGAGGCACTAATGCACAAGAGGACATGTCATCCAGAGGCGTGTCATCTAGTCATGTCATCCAGAGTCATGTCATGTAGAATCATTTCATCCAAAGTCATGAGGGGTTTCCAAGCGGAAGGCGTCGCTCCGTCTTAACATTTTTTTAGCCAACTGCACATCCCATTAAGAGCAGGTGCCTCCTACTCGCGCATTACTTAATGAAGTGATATGATGATGATGATGATGCTGAAGGGCGAAGGAGCGATCACAAATGCATCCATGCCCGAGGAGGGATTCGAACCCGTCATTGCTGCCGATAAACAGACTTTTCCTCATACTTTTAAAGAAAATAAGTTAAGTACAGATTAAAATGCAGACGCTAAATAAAATTAGTACCTTAAATGTGTCTCAATCATATCTTAATTGTAAGAAATGTAATAGTGTATGATTGCGCGCAATACAAAGAAGAAGTATTTGAATATTCTATTTCAAAATTGTGTCCCTCCTGTAAAATGACATTTCAATTACATGGCTGTTTTTACAGGTGGAACGATTAGAATTGTTTTAATTACAATACGAAAATCAAGTAATATTACATATTATAATAAAACATTTACATATTACGTTTATGATGCTAATAAAAATCACAAAACTTGGAAATTATTGTTCTGGCTTAGTCTAAAATTTTTAGATGCCTTCACCTTCTCTCTGTATTTAAACATTTTATCCCACAAGTCAAAAAAGATTGGAGACTCCTACATTAAGACATCACACTCTCCATTAGTTCATACATTAGCTCATAATTTTAAATCTCGTGGGTTGCAAACATTAGTTTGTTTAAAACAAATACATTCGAAAAGTAATGAAAAAATATCTTCCGTATTATAATTAAGAAATGCATACATCTAGTGTGTCGTACTATAAATTATTGGATTGGATTGTCAATAAATTGGTTCTGAATTCAGTAGTTATGCATGATGTGATGAGGTACTTATTTCTTAAGCGCAATGTACAAGAAATATTTTATCAACTCATTCAAAACTATTTGCTAGTACGACAATAATACAAATTATGTTATTAGAATACTTTGAAGTTTTGCATCTTGAGATTTGGTAACAATTTTCTGAATTCTTTACAACTGAACTTCTTTTTAATCTTATATCAACATAATATGTTGTTGATCAGATAATATTCAGAAAAAAGTGTTATTACGGCCATGTAAATAATAAAACCAGTTGTCAATTAACTGAAAGAAAATCAGGGAAAATATTGTAGTACATTTTAATGAAAACATGAAATTCAGAAGGTTGTGAATTTCTTTTTTGATTTTGGTCCGTTCCGTTTGCGTAAATCTTCGAAAGAAGATATATTTTAATAATTGCATTGAAGTCACAGTTTCTTGAGGTATAATGTGCCACATGTACACGGTATATATAATGTTGAATAAATGAAATTATTTTTGTTTTCAATTGGGAGATAAAGATAAAGCAAGTGTATTAGAAAAATTAGCAGTGAAATTATTTCAAAAAAAACCATTTCAAACAATAGTATCTTATGCAGTCTTGGTCATCAATTTAGTTCTTCTGCAGTTCTTCTTGCACACTAACCTTAACAAGTTGTTAACCTGAACCCACGCGCCACCAAACTGTATGTTTAGAAGTCAATAGCGTGACATGCAACACTGGTGTGGAACTAATCTTAATAAACCGTCTCACAACTCACCACTATTGACGAAATAATGAACACTTTATCACAAAATATTATTTACAGTTTGTCTGAATACTCTGACAGCATAAAACAATCATTTGATGGTAAATTAAATGAAACAATAGAGGGTAACACCACGCATATAGACACTATATTTACATAGCTTGGTTATGTTGAGACTATACGAGCAACTTAAATCACGGTTATATTTGGACATTGTAAACACTGGTAGCAGATTGACAGCATGGGATAAATAATTTATTTTTCTGTCCAAATATTTTTTAACAACATTTATTCAACATTCATTTTTAACAACAGGTTATTTGCAGTGTTTCATCCCAGAATATATGTGTACACAAAATTATAAAAAGCATAGATAATACAAGATTTCACAGAGAAGTCATATTTACAAACCTTAAAAAGTGACCTGAAGCATGAAGATACTCGTATCCGCCTTTGGATACTGTGCTGTCATTTCAGATGAGATTCGTAGTGGATATGAAAGGGGCGTTTTTTAACAGTAACATGTCCCTTTATAATAATATTAATTATAATTTATAAAAGTTATTCATGTTCATTCAAGAAAAAATAATAATAAATAACGCCAATTCGGGTAACCAAAATCCTTAAGGCAGTAGTGCGATGTACGTACTAAGATGCCATTCCATGGCACAGGAGAGGGCGAAGAGGTTGGACGTCTCGGTTGGACTTCTACTTATGGGGAAGTCTTAAGAACAATGTAAACCGTAGAAAACCAGATACACTGGCAGCACTTTGGGAATAAATTGAAACAGTATGAGGTACAATCACTGATGACACTTTGGCAAACGTTGCACGAACAGTGGTTCAAATACCCAGAAGTGTGTAACGTTAGTGGGCATTTGAAGCATATGTTGAGACGGGTATTTCTATAAAATTCTAAGATGTTTATGGCTCAATATTTTCCGGTTGTGTGTATTTAGATTTGTTATGTTAAGATCGTTTTTTTATTTATGGTTGCGTTGCGTTTTTTTATTTGCTTGAAGTGTGTGTACATCTTTTGGCATCCTGTATATGTGTGTTTATAGGGAAGACAAGGGATCAAGGATGAGAAAGGAAATATCGCGCGGACCACGATCCCTTTATTGGGATACTACTACGATATTCGCCTGATATTGTTTAGAGAATCCACGAACTACCACGTATTGGGCAAACTACCGATTAGAGCAGCTAGCCTCTAGAATTCTTCTCCAGTCGGGGATATGCTTTTTTCGTAGCTCTCTAGCCAGATACGCAAATGGGCCATCGGGACTCGAACCTTCGGTACTCGCAATTATCTATCCTTAAGAGCCAACTACGTTAGCGCTGAGCTTTCTCACCTTACAGGCTATAAAAATAAATACAGGTAATAAAAAAATAAGAATATTTTTTCTCAGACAATGCAGGAAGATTCTCTCAATAATTAACCAGTATTTAAGATCTACGGGGGCATGTAGTAAGAATGATACATTGCCGCTGGGCTCACGTTACAACAGTCTGGGAACCGAAGATCGGCAAACGACTGGCAGGAAGATTTAGAGCAGGATGGGGAGACGAAAAAAAGAGATTAGATGCTCTATAAACCTGAGTTTGCAGAAAACTGAGAAGAGTGGAAGAACTACGAATCCACAAAAGAACACTAAAATGAAATAACGTTATGTGAAAATGTGTGAAAGTGAAATGTTAATCTAATAATCTCATACTTATGTAGCTCAATAGTGGGCTTTCAAAACAAAGCTTTCCTGAGCTATGCTTCATCTTGGAGAGACCTTTTTCCTGTATGGGATTCCACTAGCTTTATTAATTATTTATTATTATTATTATTATTATTATTATTATATTGTTATAATATTATTATTATTATCTGCGAAAATAAACAAAAAATCGGTTTAAAAGCTTTAAACATGCATGAATTAATTGAAGTTGAAGTATAACTCCAACTTGGATGAGAACACTCAATTAAGAAAGTCAGTGCCGTGAAACCTTGCCAGGTGAGAAAGACATCTACCGCAGTAGTTGAAAGAGAAATGCTCCTTGGCCATAAGGAGTCTCCTCACTGAAAGGGAGGGTTGCTCTTATAATTAATTACCGTACTGAAACTACAAGCGAATGCTTTGCAGGAGTTTCGTAAACATTTTAAACCAGAGATCAAATCATAAGTTGCGGTATCGTGGTGTCGGAAAGTGACACTTCTCAAAATTCGTAAGTTTCTGGTAAGTGAAGAATCATGTTTATAAAATAGTTAATTTGTACCAGTCAAAAAGTCATAGAAATAGTTTATAAGTCAGTCAGTATGTAGGGTTATTTGACTAGCATAAAAAGAAAATACAACGCAGAAACAGTGGTGCGTCGTTTATTTGAAAACAACCAAAAGAACTACAATCACTACCACCTCCTTCAAAATAAGAGGATGTGATTCTTTCCAGGCGTCTTTTCCCATGATCAGATGTGCTTCGGAGATTTACAGACTGTATCTCTGAGTGTATTCGGTTGTGCCTTTAGGTGACTCAGATGAAAAAAAGATCTTCTGTATTCTACGAAAGATATCTAATTATTATGTTCTTCCTTTTCTCCGGTATTTATGTTCGATGATTTGTCACTTGTTTACTTTCGCTATCACACACCTTTACATGAGGAGTATTTTGCTCTTCATTTAAAGAAAACATCACTGCATTGAGTATTACGAAAACAAAGCACTGCCGTTGTGTTAAAACTGTAAAGGACAGTGAACAATTTCTCTCGCACAACTCTCCAACAATTATCATGTTTAATGCAATTAGACATTTTAGTTGCTTTTATTCGTCAAACCGCCAGGAGAAATTGGCCTCTGAGTATTATTTACCCAACTCGCTTGCTGTTTCTTTAACTCCGTCACATGCAGGTGCTGTTCTCTCAATTTCTTCACAGAGTCATGGGATCATACAGTTCAATTATCCTGCGTCTGCCTCATCTTCCACATTTATGTCCGCCTCAACATTGATCTCTCCATCCGCATCAATAGTGACCTCTACATCCGCTTCAACATTGATATCTCCATCCGCTTCAATATTGATGTCCTCTTTAACATTGATGTCCTCTTCTACATTGATGTCCTCTTCAACATTGATGTTCTCTTCAACATTGATGTTCTCTTCAACATTGATGTTCGCGTCAGCATTAATTTGTCCGCCAGGAGCTTCCCCGACGTCTACAACGTTTTCCTCAACCAGAGCGTTGGCGGCGCTTTGCTTCGCCTTTCCTGGAGCCGCCGCGCTCTTCTTCGGCTTTACTGGAGGCGAGACATCCGCGTCGGGTTTTGGCACGCAGCACGCCCCTCCAGCGGCTCCGAACGCCGCGGCTGCACCAGCAGCAGCGGCGCTGAGAGGAGAAGGCGGGGGTGGGCCCCAGCCGCCTGGAGACGGCGGCGGCGGCTGGCCCCAGCCCCCTGGAGATTGCTGCAGCTGGCCCCAGCCCCCTGAGCTCCAGCTTGCTGGACACGGCTGCGGCTGACGCCAGCCACCCTGCGGGGGCGGTGAGGGTGCAGGCCCACCCCCGGGGCCCATCTGCGGCATCACGGGCGCGCCCGGGGGCATGGGAGGGCCCATGGGGGGTCCCATCGGAGGGCCCATTGAAGGTCCCATTGGAGGTCCCATGGGAGGTCCCATGGGAGGTCCCATGGGAGGTCCCATGGGAGGTCCCATGGGAGGTCCCATGGAAGGACCCATGGGAGGACGCATGGGAGGGCCCGTGGAAGGGCCCATGGGTGGGCCCATGGGCGGGCCCATGGGTGGGAACTGTTTGCCGCCACCGCCGCCGCCGCCGCCGCCACTGCCGGGAGGCGCGAACGGGCACACGCTGGGGCCGGACGGTGCAGGAAAAGGCGAGCCGGGGCAGGGTCCTTGATTCACGGGACCGTTCGAGCCAAGCCCGAAGCCTTGCGTTGGGAAGCCGGGTGCGGCACCAGGCCCGGGAGGCGTGCCCATGGGTGGGAACTGCGACGCGCCCGGTGCCATGCCCTGCATGCCCGGGAAACCCGGCGCGCCGCCGCCTGGCGGGTAGGGCGCCATTCCCATGGGCATGGCGGTCTGCGCGTCGGGCGGGTACTGTGGGTACCACCCACCGCCGCCGCCGCCGGGCATGCCGGTGCCGAAGGGGGTCTGCATGGGCATGCCCATCGCCAAGCCGCCCGTGGGCATCCCGGTGCGCGGGCTGCAACACTGAGGTAGGTCCAGCCCGCCATTCGATGTGGTTTTCGGCCGCGCCATCTTGCTCTGTTTTCCGGCCGTCGCCTCGCCGTTGAGCTCGTTCAAGGGCTGGAGGAAAAACGTTGTTGCAATTGCTGTTGTTAGGGTTGTGGTACTTGTGGTTGCTCTCATTATCGTGGTTCTTTTTTGTTCTGGTCGCTGCCATTGCTTTATAGTGATTTTGGTTGCTCAGGGGGTTGTGAAATTGTCATTGATGAATCTTATGACTGATAAAATGATGTGTTGAGATTGTTGTTATGGTACCAGTCTAGTGCAATCCTTTTGCAATGTTTGAAATTGAAATTGTAATGCAATGAAATATCGAGAAGCGACGAACCAGTAGTAATGTAATATAATGTTCAAAAATATCTCATCTTATAAGTTACTAAGTGAGGAACGTTGCTTTGCAGCCTTGGGTATCAAAAGTCAATTTTGAGGGCCCAAAAACGTTTTCATTTGAAGTATAACATTTGAATAACATAGATAACTGGTTATTTACGTCAGTAAACACACGCTTAGTTCCTAAGTAATCAACCACCTAAACAGTGCGTCGCAGAAACGGCCGCTAACATGTTCGAGAATTCATTTAGAATATTTTTGCGGACCATCGCGTTTAGATTTTACTAGTGCTCATATCTCTTAGTATATTATGTCCCTTTTGTTCTCGGGGTTCTTTGGTACCATTTATTCCCTTTTGTCTCTCATATCCCATTGGCCTCTTTGTCCAATTAGCCCAACTTGTTCCTTTGGCCCTTTCCGCTTACCCCCTTCTGATCCCCCTATCTGAGCCATCTCTATCGGTGATTTTTTTCTTTCAACAAATCCTTCACTTTTGAAAGTTGAAGTGAAATGCGTCAAGTCTCTGTGAAAGTATCTTTCTTTAGAGACCTCGGTTGTGCCCGAGAGCCCGCAATCTCCTCTGTGTGTCCTACCGAAATAGCGTAGGAGAGCGCTGTCGCACCTGCTTGGCGGAGGCGCGCGAGGAGGTTCGCTGAGGGTCGAGGGCGGAGGCGCCGGTCGAGCCGCGCGGGGATTCCCCGGGCCGCGGTTGCGCCGTCGACGTGCGCACGCTCCCGCCACTCCGCTCGGGCGCCGCCATCGTTCAAGGCGCTGCCGCCAGCGCCCGCCGGCTCACGTGACGCCCGCCGACCTGAGCAGGATCCATTCCTTGTTAGTGTTACTGGTTCCGGGTGTGTCAACTGTCTCATTTCGTTCCCACCGTCCCGTATATTCCCTTGTGTCTCTCATGTCCCATTGGTCTCTCATGTCCCATTGGTCTCTCATGTCCCATTGGTCTCTCATGTCCCATTGGTCTCTCAGTCCCATTGGTCTCTTTGTCCCATTGGTCTCTTTGTCCCATTGGTCTCTTTGTCCCATTGGTCTCTTTGTCCCATTGGCCCCGCTTGTTGCTTTGGCCCTTTCCGCTTACCCCCTTTGCTCAGTTTCTTCCCTTGTCCCAACGTCCACCTTATCCAGTTTTGTCCTCTTATTTCATTTTGTCCCCGTATCCTATTTTATCCTCTTGCCTGATTTTGTTCCCACTCTCCCGTTTTATCCCCTAGTCACGTTCCCCCTCGTCCCCTTGCACAATGTTGTTCCAGTGTCCCATTTTGTTTCACCTCTCCCTTTTTGCCCACACGTTCAATTATGTCACCTTTTCCCATTTTGTTCCCTAGTTCAATTTATCCCCTAGACCCATTTGTCCCATTTTGTTCCTTTGTCCCGTTTCCCTCTTGGGTTGGTAGGTTTCCGCGGCCGGAGTCAATGCATTCTTGGCTATCCGGGATGAGCCGCGTCTCGGTCAATTGTACTGACGTTTCGGCCATCTTGCTGTGGCCTTCTTCAGATGGCAGATGAGAGACAGAGAGAGACAGAGACAGAGAGAGACAGAGAGAGACAGAGAGACAGAGAGAGACAAAGAGAGAGACAGACAGAGAGACAAAGAGACAGACAGAGACAGAGAGAGACAGACAGAGAGACAAAGAGAGAGACAGACAGAGACAGAGAGAGACACAGAGAGAGAGAGAGACAGAGACAGTGAGACAAAGAGAGAGACAGACAGTGAGACAAAGAGAGAGACAAAGAGAGATAGAGACAGGGAGAGAGACAGAGAGAACGGACAGCGACGAGGGGTCAGTGAAAAACAGCGGCAGCTCAATTTACTGGAGATACCAACGATCGCGCGCATCAACGGGTGCATATACTGTCACGGGACATAAGTTCATTAGATACGTAACATCAACGTTCACAAATTTTTGAGACCAGCTAATCGGCTATGTCAAAGCCGATCTTTCTGGAGACCGTGCTGTAATGTGATTTACCCCGGTTGTCTCCGGGGGTATTCTTAAGCACGGCCTTAAAGTACGGACCGTACGCGACCCTTCCTTTCCCATCTCGTCGCCAGTGATTGGTAAAATAGAAATGGGGATTAACCTATCTCACTCTATCCTATAGGTGAATATTTTTGTTCAGTTTTTAAATATTTTCGTTCATGTAAACATATTTAACCTTGGTGTACTATTCGAATCTAGTACACTGTTGTACTGCGTGAGCTGAAATATGATGCGGGAAGTTGTTTTGGTACTAGGGATGACTAAAAAGACATTTGTGGATCTAGCTTTTTATAAAGTTGAATGTTATTATAAAATAAAATATAATAGTTATATTAACTGAAGTTATCAATTGTTACTCTATTAATAATTTGTTGTAATATGAGCAAAATGAATTGCTTCTAATTAGAAATATGTTTCACTACAAATACATCGTAAAATTATATTTTATTTTCAATATCTATTGGGAAAAATTACAACTATTGCATATGATAAGTAAACTCTGAAGATATCTTTAAAATTTTGATTTTCAACCATTGTTGCTAGTTATTATTTTACTTTTACACATGAATAAAATAGTAAAATAATATGACTATCAGTAGCTTCTTTATTTTTATTGAAGTCTAAAGTAATTTGTGTTTTTTGTGTGTTAATGTTACTCATTTTTTCGTTTTGAGAAAACGCATTGAAGTTCTACGTTTTTTTCTTCTTTGGAAAATAGCTTACAGCAAAGAATACGATGAAAAGGAAGAACTCAGAATTTTCCTACTGCGTAATTGATTACAAGTTCATGCCTAATTTTTCCGTTTGTGAAGATAATTCTTTTTTAAAATTTTTTCAAATATTCCATGATGTTCAAAAATAATCTTACGTAAATTGTTTGAATAAACTATTACCAGACCACCTGAATATTTCACATCCTGATTTCGTTTTTCCTTCTCCCCAGAAGGCAGACGTAAGGGAGCGTCTATAAATTTATTTTTTTTCAAAAAATACATTCCTACTACTGTATTTCTAATTCTCATACCTTACGAGCGAATTTAGTTGATTTCTGATCGGTTCACATAGACCCGAACAGTATATAATTACTAGACGGTTTAGGAAAAATATAACAAATAGACAAACAAATTTTACATATATTTGAAAATATTTAGGTAGGTAACAGTCACCACCTGCTCGGTATATCAGAACTCTCAATAGTCAATCATGTCTGTGAGAGAAAAGCATATTTCGTTTCGGCTAATAAAGTCCTGGACGGAACAAAGGGGTTAATTTAGTAGAAATACTTTAGTAGTGGTTATATAAGGGCCTTGAGTCAAGATAAGCGCTATTTGTATTTTGTTGAAAAAATACACGACATTTTGCATTGGGTGTTCTCAAGGAGGTTTTTGATAATCATAGCATTACCAGTATTTTACCAAACCCCAGAGACCCCGATGATTGCATTATGTAAAAAAAAAACAATCTTTCAAGGAACCTGAAAATCACTGATAAAAGTTTCTAAAGTGCTTTTCCTTCAAATATGTTGGAAGTGTCTTTTATAATTTGAAACACTACAGCAGGTTTCTCATTGGATAAACAAAATTACTGAGTATTCAATCGAACCCTGAACATTCAGAATTCATTTTATAAACATTTCCAGTATTTTAAGAGTTTGTATAAAGTAGTTTATTTCTTTCATTACTGTATTATGAACATTCATTGGATTTTTTAGGCAGAAATGTTATTGCTTTTGTGATTAAATACTTATATTGACGCTAATACCTTCTCTAACACTTTTCCTAATGTAGAAATACTCGGCATTCATTCTTCTGCGAGTACACGGATAGAAAACCAAGAGTTGTTTCGTTCATTGCAATTCAAATCGAAATTCATATTTTTAAGCAAAAGTTTGAATAAATAGAAAAACACGTTCTGTTGAACTGACAAAATATACAAAAATATCTTATCGTATCTCGTTAAAAAGCGGAAATAATTTGAACAAATATAAACAGATGTTTTCAGTATTCTAAAAATGTAATAGCTAAATATCATAAAGAATGAATCGTGCTGTGTAATTAAGACGGTGATGTAGTGTGCTAAAAAGAAAGGCAAATGAATTCATCTTTGCTCTGGGGAATGTTGTGGCCTTCATGCTAAAGATTGCCATTATTATCAACAGGTTCTGATACCAAGAGTAATGGAAGATTAATATAGACCGGAGTGGAAATAATTGTCAGCCGGAATGAAAATAACGACATTTTATAGTGCACTGCCTGTAGTTTGACAATAAAATAATTTTCTTACTTAACTTACCTTAACAAAATTTTTATTCACTACTCATGTAACTTAAGTCAACTATTCGAAATGATAAAATCAATAACATATACCATAAAAAGTCCTAAATCAATAACACATACACATACAAAGTGCTAATACAATACACAATAAAACCTCGACAAAGAAAAAAAAAATGTGTGAGCAATAAATTAAATGTGGCTCAACAGATGTGAGACATAGGATTAAAAATATTTAGTGTGAAAGGAAATAATTGATTCCAAAATCCTGTGTATTTAAGAGGAAAGGTCCTAAATTTCAAAGCTAAGGATATGATATTAAGATAATATAGGCTTGCAAATATATAATACAAGTATACAAATACAAATTTTACACATATTCACAACACAGTGATTATTTAGATTTATTGTCTGATCTTATAATATCTACAAAATGTTTAAGTAGAAATATAAGACACGAAGACTAAAATATTTTAATACTTACTTTGGTTCAGAGAGGACTGCACATATTGCTGGATGACTATTCAAATTTTTCTGAATAATTCGCCCAAACTCTTGATTGAACAGAACATATTGTAGGAGACTTAGAAATTAAACCATTATCTGGGTCGGGAGAGTACATCATATTTTTTAAATTTCTTCCTGTTGTGATAGCAGCACTTTCACTATTCAAATAGCACGAACAAAGCATTATGGAAGACTGTGCCTAACCTAGTTTTCCGTGGCAGTGGCCACGGAAATTGAAGAGCTTAGATGCGCAATTGATGTGCATTTGTGGCTTTGGGTTGTCACAGGAACCGTTTGAATGTTTTCTTCGAGAACGAAATTGCTTTCAGCAAACTAGTCGATACGATTAAACTCAATGAAAGTAAAATCATAAATTGATCTGAATAGAACAGAATAAGAAAATATAGTTGCAACGACCAATAATTGAAATGTTCATATAACTATTAAGCTTTGAAGACACTTATTTTTATAAATATTACCGTTTTTTGTACTTTATTAAAAGATCGAATCTGAAATACTGGCAATAATTTTTACTATATCTTGAGAATAATTATAAAAACAGGGGTCCTCACGTAAATAATCCTCATTTGGTTCGTTCGGATATCACTGCCATTTCTTACCCACCTTATATTTTTTTTAATGTAGACAGTGATATTTCCTCTTCTTCATAAAGGGAAATAATGTGAATTTTTTTCAGAATGTCATAACCCATTATTCTCGCCCATTTACCTCATTTGGTTTCATTAATTATTTGAATTTTCACTTTTTCTACAATAATTTTAAAATAATTACATTCTCATGTATTTCAACAATTTTAAGTATGCAACGATTTATTGTTTTATAGTTTGTTTTACAATAGTTTCTTATAGATACTATTTGTGTCGCTTTATACAGTTCTCATGATTCTTATGACTGACTTGAGTGAACCAATAACAACCAACTGTAACTCTGCTAAAGCAGAAGGTCTTTTCCCTTTATTAGGATGT